TCTAATTGACGAAATCACTTATATAGTACCTGTGTGTAAATATGCTGTTTTGTGCTATTTTCAGCATAGCCCCTAACGTGCGTACCAAGTACTCAATTTATTAGATGTATAAGTTTGCTATGCTGATCAGACGTTTGTATCGCTCTTTCGACATTGCTTTTGCGTACTCGTGCTGTTCCAGCACGTTTCTTCACTGCATTTCTCTTTTGCTTTGCATCGTTTGTTTTTAATCTGCCGCGGTGTCGGCAGCAACGCTTTAGCTTTGGTATATCTGACGTCTCCTTTTGAGCTATGTTCCTAGACCTATGCATTTTACTCCGTTCTCGCTTTGACTACATAAATATTTGAATATGTAGATATATAAGTAATTCCCGACTCCGACACGTTTTCCAGTTCCATAGAACAATTGTTTATGAGCATGAGATTGGTAGTTGCATTTCAACCTTCGTATACTATGTACGAGTTAAAAAAATTTTTGATAAATATTTCCCATTTTATGCAAATTTAGAATATTTCGTTTCAGGTTCCCACTCAATAAGCTGCACAGTTTACCAAAAGGTTACCGGTTCAGGAACATCAGTGACGTTGCCATTCGTCGGCAGGCTGAGATCGCGTCGTTCCTCACATCGCTGTTTTCAACGTCTGAAGAGATTTCGCACGTATGCCACGTTGGTTAATCTGCTTTTTGCATGCTCACTGTTTCAGTGTGATCTGGTCTATACGTTTTTTCATTCGTTGTTTCGAGACGAGCAGGCCGCCATCCACAGCAGCACACCTTCGATGTCAGGTAGTTTATTGCAGAATGGCGTTTTCGACCGAAGCGATATCTTCTTTTGCAGATGTCATGATCGACAGCTCTTTGGGCGACAAAATTTCCGGTGATCTGAAACTGACGATTCTTTATCGAGAAGGTCTCTTGGAGTTGTTCGTCAACCACGCCAGAAACTTGGTACGAATAAATGATATTTCTCGTTTACTGTATTTATTTTATACTGTTGTTTAGCATTCACCCTCCATCTGCTGTTACACCTAGTTATTTAAACACTATTGCTATGAACATGTGAATTCGTGAAGCAGCTTAGTGTAATAACAATTTTTATGTCAACATGACATGTTTAGGGACTCTCTAAAACGTAGGATTGGGTAGAGTACCCATGTTCCCCTCTTCTCGTCATCAGAATAACAGCAGCCTTGCCACTGGGCTGGAGAAAATCAGATAGTCGAACACTGCCCATGAACAAGTTAGCGTAGTGTGCTGAAAACTAAGCAGTATCCACATCCCATAAGCAACTACAACCACTAGAGAAGACTTCTGAAATCTGAAATCTGAAATCCCCCTCCTGTAATCCTGTAGCAGAAGAACTTATTATAAAGAATTACTAAGTAAAGAGTGGCCACGGTTTGCAGTTCCCCTGATTATCTTGGCAACTTCCTGTACAAAAAGGGCATCATGCCGAGACCGAAGGATGCTGGTAT